ATTTTGGCCCACTCCTCTTGGCAGATCCTCTCCAAGTCTTTAAGGTTTAGTGGCTGACGTTTGGCAACTCGAACCTTTCAGCTCCCTCCACAGATTTTCAATCAGATTAAGGTCTGCAGACTGGCTAGGCCACTCCAGGACCTTAATGTGCTTCTTCTTGAGCCACTCCCTTGTTGCCTTGGGTCATTGTCATGCTGGAACACTGATCCACGACCCATTTTCAATGCCCTGGCACCCTGGCAAATCACCCAAGATTTGACAGTACATTGCCCCATCCATCGTCCCTTTGATGCGGTGCAGTTGTCCTGTCCCCTTAGTAGAAAAACACCCCCAAAGCAGAATGTTTCCACCACCATGTTTGACAGCTGGGATGGTGTTCTTGGGGTCATAGGCAGCACTCCTCCTCCTCCAAACATGGCGAGTTGAGTTGATGCCAAAGAGCTCGATTTTGGTCTCATCTGACCACAACGCTTTCAACCAGCCCTCTTCTGCATCATTATTATTATTATTATTATTACTACGAGTTTATATAGCGCCAAAGGGTTTGCTCAGCGCTGTACAATAGGGGGGACAATACATGGCACAGTACAACAACAACAAACAATGTACGAGGGGTAAGAGGGCCCTACTCTTACGAGCTTACAATCTAGGAGGGAGGGGGTAAAAGGTACAGTAGGAAGTGGCTGAGGGGGATGAAGTGGTGGGAGGAATGAGGGAGGATGGCCGTTAGGTGAGGGTGGGGTAGGCTTCCCTGAAGAGATGGGTTTTGAGGGAGCGCCTGAATGTGAATAGGGAAGGCGACAGTCTGATGGATTGGGGCAGTGAGTTCCAGAGGATGGGGGAGGACCTGGAGAAGTCCTGCAGTCGTGCATGGGAGGAGGAGACCAGGGAGCAGGATAGAAGGAGGTCCTGTGAGGAGCGAAGGGTACGGGTAGGGTGGTACTTGGTGATAAGGTTGGTGAGGTAGTCAGGGGCAGTGTTGTGAACGGCTTTCATCATTCAGATGTTCAGTGGCAAACTTCAGACTGGCCTGGACATGTGCTTTTTTTGAGCAGAGGGACCTTGCGGACACTGCAGGATTTCAATCCTTGTCTGCGTGCTAACAATTGTTTTCTTGGTGACTGTGGTCCCAGCTGCCTGGAAATCATTGACAAGATCCTCACGTGTAGTTCTGGGATGATTCCTCACTGTTCTCATGGTCATTGACACTCCACGAGGTGAAATCTTGCATGGTGTGCAAGACCAAGGGAGAATGACAGTTGTTTTGTGTTTCTTCCATTTGCTAATGACTGCACCAACTGTTGTCACCTTCTCACCAAGCTGCTTGGTGATAGTTTGATAGTTCAGTCCAGCCTTGTGTAGGTCTACAATCTTGTCCCTGACATCCTTGGACAGCTCTTTGATCTTTGCCATGGTGGAGAGTTTGGAATCTGATTGATTGCTCCTATGGACAGGTGTCTTTTATACAGGTAGCAAAATGAGATTAGCAGCGCTCCCTTTAAGAGACTGTTTCTAATCTCAGCTTGTTACCTGTATGAAAGACACCTGGTAGCCAGAAATCCTGCTGAATGATAGGGGATCAAATACTTATTTCTTTCATGAACCAGCAAATCAGTGCATAATTTGTTAGACATGCATTTCTTTTGAATTTTTTGTTGCTATTCTGTCTCTGTTTTACAATGCACCTACCATTCAATTTTTAGACTGATCATTTCTTTGTGAGTGGGCAAACATTCAAAATCAGCAGGGGATCAAATATTTATTTCCTTCACTGTACAGTTGTGTTCAAAATAATAGCAGTGTGTTGAAAAAAGTGAATAAAGCTCAAAATCCTTCTAATAGCTTTTATTTCCATACACACAAATGCATTGGGAACACTACACATTCTATTCCAAATCAAAACATGAAGAAAAATATATAAAATTTGTGTTGTTCCTCTAAAAAATTGAAGACAAGTGAATATTAGACTGTTCAAAAAGATAGCAGTGTTTGTATTCTTCTTTACAAACTCAAACATTCACTATATAAACTGAAAAATGTTTGAAGATTTTGCTTTTCTTTGAATCACTTAATTAATATTTTGTTGTATAAGCACTGTTTCTGAGAACTGCTGTACATCTGTGTTGCATGGAGTCAACCAACTTCTGGCACCTGTGAACAGGTATTCCAGCCCAGGATGATTGGACTACATTCCACAGTTCTTCTCTATTTCTTGGTTTTACCTCAGACTGCATTTTTGATGTCACCCCACAAGTTTTCTATTGGATTAAGATCCGGGGATTGGGCTGGCCACTCCATAACGTCAATTTTGTTGGTCTGGAACCAAGTGTTGTTGCACGTTTACTGGTGTGTTTGGGGTCGTTGTCTTGTTGGAACACTCATTTCAAGGGCATTTCCTCTTCAGCATAAGGCAGCATGACCTCTTCAAGTATTCTGATGTATTCAAACTGATCCATGATCCCTGGTATGCGATAAATAGGCCCAACACTGTAGTATGAGAAACATCCCCATATCATGATGCTTGCGCAACATGCTTCACTGTCTTCACAGTGTACTGTGGCTTGAATTCAGTGTTTGGGGTCATCTGACAAACTGTCTCCGGCCACTAGACCCAAAAAGAACAATCTTACTTTCATCAGTCCACAAAATGTTGCGCCATTTCTCTTTAGGCCAGTCAATGTGCTCTTTGCCAAATTGTAACCTCTTCAGCAAGTCTTTTTTTCAACAGTGGGACTTTGCGGGGGCTTCTTGCAGATAGCTTTGCTTCACATAGGCGTCTTCTAATTGTAACAGTACTCACAGGTAACTTTAGACCTTCTTTGATCTTTCTGGAGCTGATTGTTGGCTGAGTCCTTGCCGTTTTGGCTTTTCTTCTATCCATTTGAATGGTAGTGTTTTTGCTTTCTTCCACGTCTTTCAGGTTTTGGTTGCCATTTTAAAGCATTTGCGATCATTTTAGCTGAGCAGCCTATCATTTTCTGCACTTCTTTATATGTTTTCCCCTCTCCAATCAACTTTTTAATCAAGGTACGCTGTTCTTCTGAACAATGTCTGGAACAACCCATTTTCCTCAGAATTTCAGAGAGAAATGCACTGAAACCAGCATGTACAACATTTGCTGCCTTCCTTAAATAGGGGCAATAATTGCCACCTGTTTTTCAAAGAATGAATGACCTCACTAAGAACTCCACACTGCTATTATTTTGAACATGCCCCTTTCAATTAGTGATTCAATTACACAGAATCAGCAGCATGCATGTCATGACTGTTGGGTCTGTTGGATTTCTATTACTCTACTACACCTGCTGGTAAATTATTTGCCATGTAGAAATATCATTTCTACCAAAAACAGTGATTGCTCAGGTTAGTGATGTCTGACTGCTATTATTTTGAACACAACTGTATATACCAAAGTTTGTGGACGCTATAACCTTTGTGTAAACCAATCAATATATGCTTATTGGGATTTATTTTTACCAAAATATGTAGCAGAATACATGTTGGCCTAAATTTATGAAGAAATTAGATTAATTGGATGTTTTATAGCTGAAAGAAAAAAAAAATTATATATATATATATATATATATATATATATATATATATATATATATATATATATATATAATTTTTTTTTTTTTTTTCGAAATTCTTTTTTTTGTTTATAGTGCAAAAAGAAAAAAACTCAGCGGTGATCAAATACCACCAAAAGAAAGCTCTATTTGTGGGGAAAAAATTACATAAACTTAATTTATGTACAGTGTTGCATGACCGCGCAATTGTCAGTTAAAATAATGCAGTGCCGTATTGCAAAACATGTCCTGGTCAGGAAGGGGATGGGGGGTAAATCTCCCGGAGGTCATGTCGTTAAATGTGTGCCCTTATGCTCAAATTTCATGTCTGAGGTTAACCACTTTTAAGGACAAATTAGGAATCTTCCTCCTCCTCCTCTTCTGCCTCCTCCTCTTCTCCTCCTCCTCTTCCGCCTCCTTCTCTTCCTCTTCCTCCTCCTTCTCTTCCTTCTCTTCCTCCTCCTTCTCTTCCTCCTCCTTCCTCCTCTTCCTCCTCCTTCTCTTCCTCTTCCTCCTCCTTCTCTTCCTCCTCCTCCTTCTCTCTCCCTCCTCCTCTCTTCCTCCTTCCTCTCTCCTCCTCCTCCTCTCTTCCTCCTCCTCCTCCTCCTCTTCCTCCTCCTCCTCCTTCTCTCTCCTCCTCCTCTTCCTCCTCCTTCTCTTCCTCTTCCTCCTCCCAGCCAACAGGTGAAAGAAATCACCTAGAAACTATTACTAGAGTGCCTGAATTCAGACAGGAAGTGGCAGAAAATTCTGCAGTAGATCATCAACACTGAGATGCAGCAAAGAATGAGGAAGGATGAAAGTTAATAAAAAAAGGGCAATTGAGGCTCATGCCTGCTGTAGTCCACGAAAAGCTCACATCCATCTTAACATACACCCACACTAAGTTTCTGAAGATTTGGGACCCGTGGATTGTCTTGATCAATTGGGCCTGGACTAAGCTATCCATATGACTGCTCATGCAGTCCTCCCCTTTACTTCTAACCAGAGGCTTTTGTGGAAGGTGGCTTCTGATGTCTTGCCTCCTCCTTGGGAATTTCTGCCATTCCCCCACCTCCTCTTCTGCTTATGCTCGAAGGGAATCTTTGTTGGACAAGTTGCTGTTCTACTGGAAAGCCTTTTCTGTTGCACACTGGCCGGCTTAGTATACTTATAGATTTTTATTCATGTGTGATGAATCCCTGTATATTGCTCTTGTGTCCACACAGAGTTGTCATCATATACCTGCCTACCTGCCTCTGCTATGCCTTACGTCACTCCCAGTACTGCATCTTTCTGTGCAAACAATTTTGTGAATTTTGTATAAAATCCTTAAAAACGCAAACTTTTGTAATACAAAAAAGGACAGTTGCTTAAAACACACTGCATTAGAAAACAGTATTTCATTCATTTAGGGTTTACATTGACTTAACTTTTTCTATATTTCTACAGAAATACACAGTCAGCATGGATTTTTTGAGGACTTTTGAACGCCAGTGTGGGTCCCAAGCAAGCGTGAAGAGGTTGCGTGCTCATCCCTCCTACCACAGTTTTAACAACAGTGGAATTTGCCAGTGTATTTTCAGATAAGGTAAGCACAGGGGTTCTCTTTTTCACCTCCTCAGGTTAAAATTTCCTGTCCATTTAACTTGACACAAACTTTAGACGTTTTAATTAAGCAGTGTAAGTTGAGTATAAAACGAGCATAATTTTGTCATGATTGGGTTGACCAGAAATTTCCTTGTTTGGTTAGGCATGCATGAGACTGTACTGAACAGTACTGATAGTAAATAGTTGAGGTGATGTAAATTCTTTCTATCTTGTACATTTCTGTCCTGTTTGACAAGACATGACAGAAATTACAAAAATATTGCATTTACATAACCATAAGAACATAAGGAAGATGATCACTGCATACCTGTGGGACGTCATTTCTCACAGCCAGACCACAGTTCAGCAGTCATAAATGTTTTGGTTCTTAAGCGGAACTTTAAAAGCTTTTGAACTACAAATGGTAATTCTACTTGACACAAAAGATAACTGACTAAATGTGGACCTTGGTGTTTTAAATTACAATCCCACAGTTGTATGCACTAAATGTGGGCCTCGATTCTCTAAATCACTTTATTGAACATTTTCACCTCTGACCTTAGGCAGTCAATAGATGAGTAAGTCTTTTCTTCGTTCAACCATTTGGTTGTACAAAATTAAAAAATTGACTTGACCCCCCCCCCCCCCCCATATATCCACACATTCACTGTGGATAGGGGAATCTTCCCCTCTGAGGTATTGTTTTCTGACAGTAGGGAGACTTCCCGGCCATTAGAATACACTAATTATCATTGAAGACTATAGGCTTACAGGAAGTCTGGTTGATCCTTTGGCCCAGGGCATCATGTTGGGAAATTTGGGTAGACATGTTAATAAACATATTTCCTTATTACTTGCTCTCAATCCTAGTTTTCAATGACATATTGGGTATTCACTGATGATCGCAAAGCAATCAGAGTGGTTCCTGATCATGTGATTGTTATGTCAGCTTTGGCATAGTGTACCCAATGTTGAGATATAAGCGCCAAGTTACAATTTCATGAACTTTGAAAGAGAATTTCATCATGATGTTTGGGGGTTTGTGTATCTAATGTTAAAGCAGCATGATCTAAGCCTTCAGATCGACATTTGTTTTTGACTAGGGCGACGAGAGGTTTTTCTCGAAAAATGCATTTCTGACAGTGAATGTGGTCTTTGTTTGAGGTCCATTTGCTCCAAAATTGAAAGCTAAAAGCAAACAAAATTTTAAGGTACTTCTGAATGAAATTTTTTTAAGCCCTTGATTGTACTAAAATATTTCATACCAATGTTCATACAGATTTTCATACAAACATTTGTTCGACAATCTACTAGTGTATACCAGATTATGAATTTTTGATTAGGAGGTTGGTGTGCATTGAAGGGTTGAAGGATCCCGTTTCAAATTGTAAAATGAGCTTTAAAATTCAGTAAAATCGTTAGCTTTGTCTGCAGTGTTTCACTTATAGTTAGTTTTGAGGTAGAGTTTACCTGTGCTGTTGCACCTGGAGTAGAGCACTTTAGGAATCACAAGAAACATCTCAAGCTCCTAAACACCAGGGCTCTCGGCTCCCTTCTACAGTTAAGCATGTTACTCACGTGTTTGGGGTTGGGGTTAAATTATTTTGGGGTTCTAGGAATTTATTTTGGTCTAGTAAGGTAATTATGTGAAATCCCCAAAGATGAGCAGGTACCTTTTCTACATTTAATTAGCCTTTATGAAAAGGGGAATTGGTTTGAATTAGGTGTATGAAAGTTAACCAATTATGTAGGTATGAGTGTTATTACAAGTTAGGATGATAAATCTACCATTCGAATCTAAAATAAGATGGAGGTGAAATGAGTCCCTAATAGCTATAAGATCACACTTTTTTCCCATAAAGCATGGAAATTACTCTTTGCCACATATATGTTTCTTTCAGCATCTGCCCAAAATGCAGATTTCTTATGGGGGCTGTTCAAACTTTAAGTGTTAATGTAAAGTAGTTTAAGAACTATGTTGGTACCTTAACAAGTTCACCGCTGGTAGCATTTTTCAGTAGACATAACAGGGGTGTGGACATTTTTGAAAAAACTACTTGTCCAGGGACTAAAACAGTGTCCCAGTCTACTTGTCCCTCATGACAATCTACTTATTTAACCAATACTGTATTTAAATCAGAGGTGATTTTAGGAATGTTTTAAAAACAAAAGGGGCTTTATGGCAACTTAACCGGTTCCCGTCCCAGGCAATAGCACAAAGGCGACCGGCAAAACACCTTGTCCCTCCGGGTGGACGCCATATGGCATCCTTTCAGGCAAGTGCAGTGCGCCTGCCTGCAGGCCCGCTCTGCGTCGCGATCTGTCACCGGCCGTGTACCTAGGACATGGCCGATGACAGATCTGTGTACTGGCCCTGTTTCCAGTACCATGTGACCTGCTGTGACTGTATACAATGGATGGCTTCCTTTCATGCCATCCATTGTATACTAGTGTGTCTAGCTGTGAATGGTCACAGCGATCACATGCACAAGCTGGGCCAATCACAGCCCAGCTGTGTCATGTGATTAGGCGTGGCAAAATCACAGGTAAGCACAAAAAAAAAAAAAAACCCTGAAGGAATCGGTCATTCAGGTAAATGCTTGCTTTTAGCAAAGTATTTCTTTGCTATCACAAATTGTGTATATAAAAAAAAAAAAAAAATTACTGATCACTTCCCCAAAGTAGTACAATGTTACTATGGTAACATTATACTACTTTGGTCATAGTGAAATATTAAAAAAAAATCTTAAAAGAGGAAAAGAATGTAATAAAAAATTAAAACTAATAAAATTATAATTTTTTTTTTTCGTACTGTCACCAGTCAGTGTCCCTGATCACCACCATGCCAGTTATATCATGATGCTGTACTGCACTGGTGACAGTGTGTAAAAAAAAAAAAAAAAAAAAAAACTGTGAAAATACTTTTTTTTTAATTTTACGAAAAATTATGACAAAAAAAAATTACAACTTCAAAAAACTCGCCATGCAAATACGAATTATGAAATACGTCGGACTGTCTACTTTGCAAAAAGTGGTCATTTGCGGGGTATCTGTACTTTTCTGACATTCTTGGACCTCAAGAATTAGATTGGCCGTCAGTACTTCAGGATTGATCAATTTTCAGATATATACCATAGTTTGTAAACTCTATAACTTTCCTACAAACTAAATATTACATCCTAATTTGGGTTATTTTCATCAGACGTGTAGGAGAATACATCTTTGCCTAAATTTATGAAGAACAATTATTTGCAAACTTTTATAACAAACGTGTTTTTTTTTTTTCAAAATGTTTGGTCTTTTTTTGTTAATTTAGCAAAAAATAAAAACCCCAGTGGCGATTAAATACCACCAAAAGAAAGCTCTAGTTGTGTGAAGAAAATGACAAAATTTTAGTTTGGGTACAGTGTTGTATGACCGCGCAATTGTCATTCAAAGTGTGAGAGCGCTGAAACCTGAAAAATGGCCTTGGCAGGAAGGGGGTAAAAGTGCCCTGTATGGAAGTGGTTAAACATATAATATTTTTAACATTCCGCTGGTTATCTCCTCTTCTCCTCCCTGCCGGTCTCCAGCACCGCACCTGGGGGCTTGCAGGGAGAAGAGACACCTTGCAGTGTAATAAGCACCGACTGGCTGCTCCTCAGGAAAGGGGAGTGTCCGGCTTATCCTTTTATCCCTTTTGTTTCCAGAGCCGTTTTTGTGTTTTTTTTGCACAAGATTTAAAAATTGTTTTAGGCCTGAAGATTTCATAAAACCCCCAAACATATATTTTCTGAAATCAGAGATCCTAGAGAATAAAATAATGCTAGTTCCAGTGTTTTTTATATCGCATGATATTATCACAGACTTTCAGTAAAAAAAAAAAGTAAATTTTAGGGCACAAAAAAAACAAATTACCCTATTTTTTTGTAAGATATAAAAGATGAGGTTGCACAGAGTAAATAGATATCCAACTTGTCAAACCTTAAATTTGTGTGTGCTCATGAAATGACGATGAACTTCAGTACCCTATATTTTAGGTGACCCTTTTAAAGCCCCTTATAGGCTGTCCGTTTAGCGTTACGAAGGAGGTCTGAGCGTGCATGGTGATATATAACTTGTGTATCGCAATTGACGTCATGCGTAGGCGCCCCAACATGTGCTTTTACAATTGTACATGCGTTTATGTGGCGGGGGGGATGTTATGTACTTGGGTGACAGGTTCTCTTTATTGAGACATCCAGGGTCTAAAACACCCTGCATGTCTCCCCTATACTACACTGAATGTAATGCAGTGCACATCGCACTGCATTACATTCTTTCATGGCCTCAATGGCTGGGAATCTCTCATCATGATGTCACTTCTGGGTCAGGACAAGAAGGGGAGTGGATGTGCCCACTCTCCTCCCTCCCCTCTAGCCCATGGCAGTAAGCCGATCCTGGGCCTGCAGATGGGCAAGCGGAGCCCGGGAGACAGTGGGGGGGGAGGTTCACACAGGGGAGGGGGGGGGCGGCGGAGAGGCTGGCACTGTGTGGAAGCAGTCTGCGGCAGCACTGCCGCCCAAATGCTTCCACCTGACAGGTGAGCCCTGCTGCTTGCCCACTGCAGGGTTAAAGATAAACAAAAACTACCTACCCCGGCACCCGGAACTACATGCCCTGGGCGTTGGGTGATATGAATTCAGCATTCCTGCATAAACAAGTGTGGTGGGAAGCTATAACTGAGGCAAGAGCATTGTCAAGTTGAACACTGATGCAGATGAAGACCATGAGTTGCTGACAGTAGAGTTCTGTAAAGTTGTGACACTTGAAGGAAATTGGAGAGGAAACTGAAACAAAATCACTGTGAGCTTTAGCACATTCTCCCATTTTAAGCTCTTCATTATTGACACTCCCCTGTATTATGTTCTTAATCTTTAAACTGCTGCATAAATAGAACATTTCAATATATATGTTAGATAATAATGTGTTATATAATTTATTATATAATATTATAGATGTTATTAGATATTACTATTATTAGATGTCATATTATATTAGACGTCGTTGTCGAGGGAACCTCATGATGATATCAGAGGGGTATCTAGTACAAGTTGATTAGATGTGGGGTACTCGTTTGTGGGGATAGATAGCTGCCTGGTGTCATCCAGGAATGTTATGGTCCCTCACCTCCTGTTCCTGTGCTAAATCCGTCATTCTGGCTTTTGATTTGGCTGGGCTGAAGAGGAGTAGAAAGTTAAATAGGTGTCTCATCAGTGCCCATCATGGTGGCAGGATGTCAGAGGAAATCCTTCCCATGGAGAGGAGCTTGTGGGATGAAGGGGAGGAATTGCCGATGCCCATCTTGGGCTCGTGTTGCCTTAGCTTAGGCAATTAAGTATGTCAATTCACATGGCCCTTATTTCTCTTTCCTTTTCCACATTGCCACACACGTCATGCTGTGAAAAGTATAACCACGCAGAAAGCCCTTTCAAAGTGTGGCCATCTATGTAGCTGATGATTAATCCCCCAGAGCAGGAGTTTAGTACCAAATAAAAAGATAACCTAGGCGTCGGTGAACTCTGATCACAAAAGGATAAACTTCCTGAAACTGGAGTAGAACAATTCTGTTTTGTGAGAATGTGGATTTAGAATCTCCAAACTCTTTCTGGGGTACCAAATGTTTATGCTTTCTGTTTGAGGTTCGATAACTCTACTGAAGCGTAACTGGATCTTTTCAATAATAGTTTGGATTGTTTACAAATAGGTTAGACGTGGAGGATAAATGCTAACAAAAAGGATGAACTTAAGTAGTTCAATGGGGAGCTGGGAAAGATTCTTTACCTATTGACACATTTTGGTACATTGGGGGTTCACACAACAAAGTGCCTTTCGCTGTCTCATCAAGAGAGCATGACCACGGCCACCGTTTTTGCCCATCAGTTCCATTCGTAAGAGCTGCAGTACAGCATCCATGAATCAAACAGGATCTATGAATGCAGGATGGGCAGATGAATGATCGTTTCACCCCCTCTTTTTATAGATCCTATTTAATTTATAGAAGCTGTAGTATAGTTCCTGCTAATGGAGCAGCTGGGCAGAGATAGTCAGGCTCTCTTTGAGGCACTTAAACTGTAATTGCTATGAGCTTGGAAAGCTATTACCACAAGGTTTTTCATTTGACATGGAAGCCTTCAGGATTCCACCCCAAGTTTCTCTAAGGGACAAATTTGCTTCCCTGCACTATCAAGGGCCAATTTTCTTCCCTTTCTAAGCTGTTCAGAAATGATTGGCCTCTCATATCTTGATGAAGATATTTGTACAGCGGATCTCCAATGTGCTTCCTCTGTGACCATAGGATCGGCATCTGGATTTCTGTGCACTTCAGAAATCACTGTTTGAGCCCACAAACAGATTGAGTTCTGCTTTCACCCACAAGGTCATTCTTTGCGGCCTTCACTTCTGTAATGCAAATGTCTGAACAAACTACTTTATTCTGCAGAGACCTTTCTGGTTTTGCATAAAAGGTGGTGTTGAGGCCCAGGGGTTTTTTGGTTCAGGCTGTTTCTCAACCACTTCAGAAAGACTTTTGTCATCTTGGATGGACCCCAGAAGGGTGCTGCAGCTTCTTTTTCCACTATTTCTAGGTGGCTTAGGCAGACCATCAACCAAGCTTATGGTCTCAAGGATCAGGTTCCACCATTTTCTTTCAACGTGTACGCCACTAGGGATTTTCATCCAAGCATCTTTTCTCAGGTTTGCAGTCTATCATGTGGTTCCCCATGTTCCTCAATGGATGAGAGAGAAAATAAGATTTTACTTTTTGTAAAGTTGGGGCAATATTTTAATCTATTGTGTTTGGATCTGATATCTGTTGTTGGGGTTTTTGGATTTTTTCCAGCTACTAACATGATCTTGGACACCTAAAACTATGTTGCTGAAAGGTATCCTTAGCTTTATTTGCAGGTGCTAATTTTATGTTTTTTTCACTTGTATTTTTGCTTTGAGAAAACGTTTTGCAAAGAGAACAATTTGCTTTGTGTTTTAAATGTCACCCATAGGGTTTTAAATCGATATTTTAGTATAGTAATCAGTACTTTGGTGTAATAATGGTCTTCTGAATTCAGCATCTTTAACCACCTTGATAGATCAGCTCCGGATAATGTAATTCCTGTGCACTCATGTAGGTGTTAAATCATTCCAGGATCAAGGCATGCCTAGATTGCACACTGACTTTCACACAGACATGCTGCGTTTGTACAAGAAGCTTTGATTGCAGAAAAGACATAGTCTCTTCTGCAAAAAGCCCTTTTGGCAGGCAAATTTTTTTCAGCTAAAGTTCCATTTTAACCCTTTAGGAAATACTGGGGATTACAGGACATTACAAGAAACTTTAAGCCCTTATACTAATCTGCATTTAAAATACATTTAATGGTTATATAACTGCATATTATTGTGCCTGCAGTTCAGCTTGAAATACATCACTGAAAGCACTTTGATGTTTAAAAATATGCAAATAACCTCATGATAGACTATCTGTAGTGATGTAGTTAAAGTAACGCATTGTGCATTTCTTGGAAGTAATTGTTTTTTGTTTTGTTTTTTCTCCTTCCAAGGTTTAAGGAAATAGCAGGACGTTTGGAATCTGCATTAGTATCTCCCCTGCAAGAAGTTTCAGGTATATTTTATTTGTTTATTACAAATAATTTATTTGTATCATTTCTGAATAAAATACTAAGATTAGCAAATGGGGAATATGTCATCTATGTAAAGAATTGCTTGTTTTAAGAAAATGTCAAACACTTTTCGCAAGTTGTTTGGGGCTCTCTTTTATGTGACCTGGTCAAAATTGTCCAGACTGAGCTTCAGGCCTCATGTCTGAATAAGCAGATGTGTTGGAATCAACATCTAGACATGGCATAGCACTAAGGAGCAATAAACAAACAAAATAAAGAGACACACACATGGTGTTAATCAACATCTTTTGGTCATGGTCTTTATTTAAGGGCTAAAACAACAATAGTAAGCTGTTGCTTGGGGAGGAATCTTGTTGTAGAAACCCCAGTGGCCAAAGTGTTTATTTAACAGGTACCCCCAATTTAAAGGCAGGTATGCCACCAAAAGAGCCAGTTCCAAAAATCCAATCACGATGTCCATCCAGACTACACTAAATCCACGTTTACTATATCTAAGCCTACATCAGACAAGTGGACTAGGTTGAGCTATAAAGCCCCAGTACAAAACCTTCCAAATCTATATGGTAATATAATAGACCATGAAAATAAACCAAGAAATTATGAATGGTTCTATTATGGAATCTCTGAATTTCATCTAAATATTAAAACTTGCCCAAAGGAGACCAAAGAAGTTTTTGGCACCACTTCAGAGAAAGCAAAAACTGTATGTGGAAACAGAACCATCAGCCCGGGTTCACATATATTTTTTAAATTATTTTTACGATGTCCCTTTTTAATTTTTTTTTTTTTATTCTATCACTTTTAATGCTATCACAGGGAATGCAAATATCCCCTATAACGTCAATGGGCATTGTCATATATTCTTTTTTGAGAAATCTGGGGTCTATCAGATTCTAGATATCTCCTCTGCCCTTACATTATCTAATCTCACCGAGATCGGTGTGATCAGATGAGATCAGAAATTTCCCAGTTTCCAAATGGCGCTGCTTACATCCTGTGAAACTGAAGTGATGAAATGCTTGTAGCTTTCGATTTCTTAGACTATAGAGATGATTGGCACAATTCCAGTCTCCAATCAGCTCTATGGTCAGCTGGCAGAAACAACGGCTGTGTTCTCAGGTTCCCCAGATGGCACAGGACTGCCCGAGAAGGCCGTGGATTAGCCACTAGGATTGCTTTTACATGAAAGCCGATCACTGGCTGAAGTAAACGATACCAGGGTGATGCCTGCAGCTGTAGGCATCATCCTAGTAAAACCATTCAAAGTCCAGTGCTGTACCAGTACGTCGCTGGTCCTTGTTGGGTATATATGTTATGTTCCTCTTCTTTTTTTTTTTTTTTTTTTTTTTAATATATGCAGCCTGTGGGCTGAATGAAAAAAAAAAAAAAGAAATCTCTGCCAGAAAAAAGTGTGTGGTATGCCCACCATTAGAATATACCACCCTGCATACACCCACTTCTAATGATGGGCACACCGTATGGCGCACGGTGCCACATGCACCAATTTCAAGTTTGTGCAAATGTCTAAATAGTGGCACGCTTGAATAAAAATTTCATTGGTACCGCATATGGAAGAAGGATGACACCAAGTTCCAAACTATCTTGCCACTACTCCCCATGTAGTCTGGGCATCCGGGGAGCTCAACGTGACTATCTTTTCCCTCGTAAATCCGAAACTTATATGTATAGCCTGTTGCCCTCTCACAGGTCTTATACATCTTGACCCCATTTCTGGCAAGCTTGCTGTGGAGAAATTGTTTGAATACAAGGCGGCCAGAAAAATTAATTAGGGACCCATTAACTCAGATGTTTTACTGGGGGATTATAGACATCTGTAAATTTTTGGTTAAGGTGATTTACGAGGGGCCGAATTTTGTGCAGCCGGTCAAATTCAGGGTCACCTCGAGGATGACAGTGTATTGTCGGTAAAATGCATAAAACACATTATACTCTCATATCTATGCCTGGCCATGGCAACAGAGAACATGGGCATATGATGAATCGGGTCTGTGGACCAATACAGCCGCAATTCATTTTTTTTTTTTAGTAATACCCATGTTGAGGGTTAGGCTCCAAAAAAATTTAAATTCAGAAACCGTAATAGGGTTCCATGCGATTGGTCTGGCAAGGTTTGAATTTGGGTTGGCGGCGATAAATTGTTCATATAAATTGCTCTGATCCACAATCGGTGCATACAGATCTTCCATGAAAAACCACTCCAAAGAATGAGGGGAAGTAGTTAAATTTGCCGTTTCCAACTGAATTCTGGGTTGGGCAGTGAACGGGGAAGTACGGGTGCTGCCGAAGTTGTGGGCTGCCAATCAGGATTTAAAAGTACATCTGGAAGGATACTAGGGGATCTACGGGACTGTGTGCAAATTCTTGGTGGCTGCGGGACTCTACTTGTGCTCGCCACCACACCAGCTTGTACTGCACTTATGAGACTCGCCACGTCACCAAGTGATACTGTAGTGCTGGTATGTGAAAGAAATTTGCCGGCAAGTGCTAGCAGAGATCAGGCCTGATTCTGCGAACACTGTGGTTTTGTTTGCAATGTATCAAGTGACAGTGACCTACTGACACTGCACTTGCTGGGGGAGAAAGGGGGGGGGGGAGTAAGCGTAGGGGCTAAATGCAGGTGCTAGGGTTAATCACTCGAACGCTGTGTTTTTGAGGACACTATACTAATGTGAACGCTGGTATAGTGCTGATCTGATAAAAGATATAGAATCGTTCAGACACTATACTAGCAATGGAGGTTTATTGTGCATGAGCGTGTTCCTGGCAATCAAGGGGTTAAATGTGATTTCTGGTGTATTGATGGGCAATCTGATGCTATCTGGGAGGGGCGTGAAAACCACGGGAGCGCGGATCACGTATATATGTGATTTTGCGTACCCGTGCTGCCCTGTAGCAGTATTTCTGCTAAAGGGCGGTCAGGAAATAGTTAAAGAAGCGTTACGGTGCTGCGTTACTTTAGCTGACAATTGCGCGGTCATGAAGCGCTGCACTCAAATGAAATCTACGTCCTTTTTTCCCACTAATTGAGCTTTCTTTCGGTGGTATTTGATCGCCTGTGTGGTTTTTATTTTTTGCGCTATAAAAAAAACAATTTTGAGAAAAACAATATTTTGGACTTTTTGCTATGAAACATGTCCAGTTAAAAAATGTAAAAATCAAATTTCATCATAAATTTAGGCCAAAATTCATGCGACAAGTCTTTGCTAAAATAAAATCCCAATACGTGTAAATTAATTGGTTTACGTGAAAGTTATAGCGTTTACAAATGGCGGTATAGGTACTGGAATTTTTATATATATATATATATATATATATATATATATATATATATATATATATATATATATATATATATATATACACACACTAATAATGGCGGCGATCAACGACATTGGGGGGAACTGACTTAGTGTCAGTGGCATCCCTAATACAGAGATAAGTGCTAAAAAAAAGGGCAGTGTGCCCAAACTGACATTTTGCGCGGAGGGCCCACCGTGCAGCAGTCAGTGTACTGTGCCTGGCCTTAAGCAATTAATGAACATCTAAATGATTCAGAGAAGGACTGGGAGAAAGTGCTGTGGTCAAATGAGACCAAAATTGAGCTCTTTGGCATTAACTTGACTCGCCGTGTTTGGAGGAAGAAAAATGCTGCCTTTGACCCTAAGTCAAACCATCCCTACAGTCAAGCATGGAGGTGGCAAAATTATGCTTTGGGGATGTTTCTCTGCAAATTCTGAAAGGTATAGGTTGAGTTTGCTGCATTGAGGGGCAGTGGACGGGGCCATGTATTGTAAAATCCTGTGTGAGAACCTTCTTCCCTCAGCCAGAACACTGGAGATGGGTCATGGATGGGTCTTCCAGCATTACAATGACCCAAAACATACCGCCAAGGCAACAAAGTAGTGGGTCAAGAAGAAGCACATTAAGTTCATGGAGTGGCCTATCCAGTCTCCAGACCTTAATCCGATTTATGGAGGTTGCTGGAACTTCGAGTTGCCAAGTGACAGCCACGAATCCTTAAGGATTTAGAGAAGATCTGTAAAGAAGAGTGGACCAAAATCGCTCCTTAGATGTAACTAAATACAAGGAACGTCAACAAGGGTTTCTCCACCATGTACTAAGTTATGTTTTTCTTGGGGATCAAATGCATGTTTTACTCACTGTACTAAAGCTCAATTTTATAACATTTGTATCATGTATTTTTTCTGGCTTTTTGGTTGATATTCTGTCTCTATCATTTAAAATACACCTATGATAAAAATTATAGACCCTCCATTTCTTTCGAAGTGGGCAAACTTACAAAATCTGCAGGAGAGCAAATATTTATTTTCTCCACTGTATCTTCCAATGGAGACATTAGTTCTAGTGACAACCAGGAATTCCCTTCCTTTCACCCACTTCCTGATTTGGCTATGGGAAAGATAAATCTCCCCAATGGAACTCTCATGGTAAAAATCAACATTACAGTGCTTATAACCCTACCTTATTCTATCCACAATAAAAAAATAAACGTTTTTTCTTTAGTTCTAATTTAATGTATAGCCATGAGAAGCAATTAGTGTTGTAGTGTATTCTAAAGTACACCTGTGCCTGCAGATGACATGTGAAAATAAAGCTGGTCACTAATGGCTAGTTTTTGGTTTTTTTTCGTTCCGGAATCCCTCTAGCCGGTACGTTGCATTCTGACATCGGCACCTGTTGCAGTCATACACTGATCAGAGGCTGCACCAGCTTACCAAGAAAATTTTCCAACATGTCCCTTCGACAGAAATCAAACAATGGATGTCTGTCGAGTGGAGACGGCCACACAGTGAAATTGGTCTGGTCTATGCTGTTATGCTATGCTGATTCGGCCAATTTTTTTTTTCTTAACAGATCTCTTCAAGAGAGACAGTTGCCAATCAACACTATTCTTTTTGTCTACGTTCTTATTAAAGTGGACTGGAGCCATCCAGTTGTTTGGCAGTGCAGACAACCTCTCCTACTTGCTGTTAGCCCTATGAGTTTTCACACCCTCCTCCCAGTCTGCTTATCTGTGAGAACAGTGTAGCTAAAGAGGAGTTTTTGTGAAAACATCTATCCTAGGGCTCAATCCTACTTTCTAACCTTAAGTCCCTGCCTTTATGGCGTTGCTAATGAAGACATTGTGCTGAGTGAGTTTGGTCTCTGAGGCCGTAATTACTACCATCTCCAGACTCACAAGAATTCGTCTTGCAAGATCTACCACTGCACCTGCTAGGGTTACATTATGTGGTTATGAAAGAAAAGAAGGTAGTAAAAAAAACAAACCCTTAGCAATCTGTGTCTTCAGGGGACAATGAATGGGTTAATAAACTGCAATGAGGTAATAATCAGGATGGTAGGTGACTCAACAGACATAAAGTTGTACTCAATCCTGCTGCTGAAGCTCAGTGGAGGGTTATCCATTTACTAAAAAATGACAGCAAAAACAGAGAAAAGTGCTTGAGAAAGAGGGACATCCTCAAAACAAGTTGCCTCACCGCCAGGACCCACACTTGTATACAGCCTGCACCCCTTTTCCATCTTGGTGAAACCAGGAGGTTCAAATAGCTGCTCTATTTTCATCTGAGAGTAGATCCCATCTGTAGGAGTGACATCTGCTGCCTTATTCTACAGCCCTGCCACTGGCCATGGTGTGTGGGCTTACACAAAACTCTCCCCTGCTGGCCCGATGCTCTTTTTTTTAATCACATGAGATCCAAGCACTTTTTATTTTTTTTGCTATTTCTTACATTAGGTAGAACCTATATACAATTTACATTCTAAAACCACTGCCACAAAGGTGTAAGAGATGCACATGTGCATAATGCAAAAGGAACAGTTTGAAACGTTTACCCTATGGCAGCAATGCTCAAATGGTGACTCTAAAGCCACAATAGCTTAAAGTGAGTTTGCCATCTATTGTCTGTTGCTGTATAAAATCTCAATTGGTACCTATTACAAGCATTACTTCTGTGATCCATTGTTATTATTTTATTTTTTTTTTTAACAGCATTTACTTAGGCTAGGTTTACATTTATGCAGTTTGCATTTGATCCATTTCTGCAGTGCGTTTTGAGTTTTTTTGCAAACGTTTTTGATGTTGTTGCTGGGCAGATTAAAAACTGCGTCAAAAACACATGCTTTTCTGCAGCGCCTCCACTGAAGTCTATTGAACCAAAATGCATAGTTTTTGCATTTAACCGCCTCCCGCCCACCATATAAGGAAATGACGGGCACAAGGCAGTTCTCTCGTTCTGGGAGGACATCCTATGATGTCCTCCCACTCTAACCGCGTGTGCGCCGTGATCGGTGGTGCGCTGGTTCTCTCGGACACAACAGATCACCGATCACCGGAAAGAGCCAAAGATGGCGGCTCTGACATGTGATCAGCTGTGTCCAATCACAGCTGATTGCATGTAAATAAGGAAATGCCGGTTATCGGCATTTCTCTCCTCACGAGCTGTCACGCTGACCGCTCATGAGGAGAGCCAGTAATCGGCATTCCTCAGAGGGGACATCTATACTGATCATCAGGGCACTGATGATCAGTGTAGCCCTATCAGTACCACATATGAGTGCCTACCAGTGCACATCCATGCCACATATCATTGCCCATCTGCCCTGCCTATCAGTGCCAGCCAGTGCCGCCTATCAGTGTGCAACAGTGCCAGTCAGTGCCACCTATCAGTTCCATATATGAGTGCTGCCTTTCAGTGCCCATCAGTGATGCCTGTCAATGCCCATCAGTTCCACCTATTAGCGCACATCAGTGAAGGGAGAAAAATCACTTCTTTATAAAACAGACTGAGAAAAAAAAATTTTTTTCAGTTTTTTGGTTTTTTTTTAGCAAAAAATAAAAAACCCAGAGGTGATTAAATACCACCAAAAGAAAGCTCTATCTGTCTCAAAAACAAATGATTAAAATGTCATATGAATACAGTGTTGCATGACTGTGCAATTGTCATTCAAAGTGTGACATCACTGAAATCTGAAAATTGGCCTGGGCAGGAAGGGGGTATAAGTGCCCTGTAAGCAAGTGGTTAAAAAAGTCTGACCCTTTCCAAAAATCATACCAGTTAAAAACATGGAGGTGTGAACTTCACCCATAAGAAATCATGTTAATGGACTGTAGTGTTTCTGCATAACGCAGAATGCTTAGGTGTGAACCTAGCCTCAAAGTTGTATATTTTTTTTTCTTTGTGTATTTCATAAATCATAGTCTCCATCATAGTCATGTACTTCTTCCATCTGAAGTACCTGGTTGATCCTGCCAGCCACTTTTCCTCCTTTTTCTAAACTGACCCTACAAACAGAATCTGGTCTGTGCTTTTGTGGTCAGTTTGCAAGCATTGGCTGGCCATTCAGAGGTGCAGGACACTGTGCAGGCACACAGCATGCTTGTAATAGGTAGTCTGTTCAGCCACCATACTCCCTGGCTAATCACAGCCTGACTCTATCACACATCTCTCCCAATCACAGCATGCCTCTTGAACACACTCCTTGAACAAACTATGGAATACAGGCGCGCTATGTGTCTGCACAGTGTCCTGTAACGCCCCCACTATAAAAAAAAAAAAGTGGAGATGCATGGTCACCTGACAGAACTTTTTAACCTTGTGGGGAAAAAAGGGTAAGAAAGAGATAATTTTTGTAACTAAACAAAAGCAGTTATGGTGCCTGTATAGTTAGACCTGTATTAAAAAGTATCTATAACCTAGTATGTTTACAACTACTTTAACAATTATTTAATAGACTTTTATATTTTTTTATAATTTAACAGATGGGGATACACTTTGCCTTCAAGCTTCCAGTGTCCTGTGGACATGTCTGACTACATGCTGGTCTGATCAAATCTTTCTACCTTTACTTGCTCACCGTTTCTGGAAACTGACCCTGCAGCTCCTGTCACGTTATTGTATTTTCATTAAAGAGGTAATTAATTCAATTAACATGTTTGTGTTTTGGATGCTACAAATTTCAAATAGAAAACTCCAAAGAAAGTCTTCAGGGTATATATACAACAGGAAGTGGTAATAGCCTGAAAGTGTTCAAGACCTGGAAAAATGGATAAAGCACACATTAATGCCCAGTTCAATTATTTAGATTCAGCAGGGGGCAAAATACATTAGAAAGGAGGTCATGGATCTTCTGTCTTTAGTTGCTGCTGAACAAATCAAGTTGTTTTGAACTGTATGGACTAGTGGAGTGTGTGGCATCACACTTTATTCAAGTTCCCACTTGCAGGGAACAGGCTTTTCTACTCAAGCAGTGGCTGCTTTCTCAAGAAATCAAGAAGTGTGCACACCTTTTTGTTTTGGTCCAATTGCAACGTACAGTATTTATCTGATTTAAAATAAAAAGTTCAATTGAGCTTTAACCCTTTTTAGTATCATGGATATAATTGTTCGGCACAGAATTGCTTGCAGCTGGCTTAGTAACCCTTATGTCCAATGCAGTTTCAAAGGCTGTAAGTCTAAGGCCGTTACTGTGACCAAGAACATACAGCCATCTGATGCCCAGGACTGCCTGTAATTATAATTGTGATAGCTAATGACATTGCAGTATTGTTTTACATTGTTTTCAAGTTGGAGACTGGGGGAGATTAGTAAACTTTATTCTATTTACCAATCTTTAACGTACAACTGAATTTTAAGTGCTCGTTCATGAGCACTCCAGAGTTCAGTACAGTGCTGGGTGCCAGGACAGAGGGAGACTTTTTTTTTTTTTTTTGTAATGTTTGTTGACTTTTATCAAAGAGTAAATCCATGTTACCTCAACCCAGCAGAGCAAACTAATACTAATCTACAGATTGTAGGCATTAAGCAGTACTGTTAACAATGGATTTAGCTTAATCATTCCCTAACTTTACATTCCTAGTTAATTGTGACTCAGCAGAGATCTTTTTTACATTTTTTGCTTTTTACATTTGTTTTTTACTTCTATTCATAGTATATTACATTTTTATTCAAACATCAACTTTACTGTCAGACTTTTTTTTTTTTTTTTTCATTTTTCACAAATTCATTTTTTTTGTTCTGTGTACTCTGACCCTTTGACAGGTGGCTTCCCGTATCACTTCAGAATCCAGTATGTCTGAGGGTAAAGGTTTTACACAATACACTAACAAAGATACAGCGCCCGCATGTGTGGTTTCTGAAGAACAAGCTGCGACAACGTTATCAGAGACCCAGTCCTCCAGATTATCAATGCATCAGTTAATTCTGCTTGTTGCCGATGTGGATAAAATCATAGATCAGGTAGGTAGGCAAAATTTGTGAAGTTCAGTGTTTTCATTTACTATACATTAGCGTATGCATATGGTTATAATAAGAAAAATATATTTTCTCAGATTGATGGTACGTACGTAAAAATTATATGAATGTAATATTCTGTGTTCTATAGTCATCAATGAAATTTTTCCTGCAGGTTCTCAAGGTGGTTGCCAAGCAAAAAAAGACACAAAATTATGTATTAAAAATTATATTGCATATAGAGACGTGAATATAGAAAAATATTGGTTGATAAAAATAACTTCAAATACCAGTAAAAAAATATTTTAACATACAACATTGCAATGCACATTTTAGCTATCATTTGATTCACGCTTTCGTCAAGCCCAACCCATCCCTCCAGACCTAATTCTGGATGTCTTGTCCTTCTGGCCAAGGTGCCCACTTTATTTTGCAAGTCCTACTTATTATGGTCAAAATGTCTGGAAAAATCTGAGTTCACACACCCCATCTATGCTAATAATGTATTGCGCTGTAACCACTCAAGAAATACTCCAAGAAAGTGATCGTTTTGGAAGAGCCTTCCTGATGGAACACACTCATAATACTGGCTTATAAATTTCCCAAAATAAGTATACAGTTGTGTTCAAAATAATAGCAGTCCAGCATCACTAACCAGACCTATCACTATGTTTTTGGTATAAATTATATTTCTTCACCAACCTGATTCCCAGGTACCACCCTACCCGTACCCTTTGCTCTTCACTGGACCTCCTCCTATCTTGCTCCCTGGTCTCCTCCTCCCACGCACAACTGAAAGACTTCTCCAGGTCCTCCCCCATTCTCTGGAACTCACTACCCCAATCCATCAGACTGTCACCTTCCCTCCTCACCTTCAGGCGCTCCCTGAAAACCCACCTCTTCAGGGAAGCCTACCCCACCCTCACCTAACAGCCGTTCTCCTTCATTCCTCCTACCACTCCATCCCCCACAGCCACTTACTCCTGTACCACTACCCCCTCCCTCCTAGATTGTAAGCTCGAAAGAGTAGGGCCCTCTAACCCCTCGTGTGCTGTTTGTAGTTGCTGTACTGTTTCATGTATTGTCCCCCCCCTCTATTGTACAGCGCTGAGCAAACCCTTTGGCGCTATATAAACTCGATGTAGTAATATTAATACATGGCAAATAATTTACTAATAGGTATAGTAGAGTAATAAATAAAACAGACCCAACAGCCATGACATGCATGCTGCTGATTCTGTGTAATTGAATCATTAATTGAAAGGGGAGCATTCAAAAAAGTAGTGTGGAGTTCAATTAGTGAGGTCATTCAGTCTGTGAAAAAACAGGTGGCCCTTATTTAAGGACGAAGGCAGCATGTACATGCTGCGTACAGTGGAAGTCTCTCTGAAAATCTGAGTAAAATGGGTCATTCCAGATATTGTTCAGAAGAACAGCATACTTAACCATTTGCCGCCCGCCCCCTATGGCCGAATGGCGGCCGGCAAATGTCATCAGCGTTCCGGGTGGACGCCATATGGCGTCCTCCCGCACATGCGCAGATCGCGCTCCTGCGCGATCTGTCACCGGCCGTGTACCTCGGACACGGCCGATGACAGATCTGCGCATCGGCCCCCGTTGCCGGTACCATGTGACCTGCTGTGACCAATCACAGCAGGTCACATGACAGTTGTATACAATGGATGGCTTCATTCATGCCATCCATTGCATACTAGTGTCTAGCTGTGAATGGTCACAGCTAATCACATGCACATGTCATGTGATTAGCTGTGGCCAAATCACAGCTAAGCACCAAAAAAAAAAAAAAAAAAACCCCTGAATGAATCGATGTCATTCAGGTAAATGCTTGCTTATAGCAAAGTAATTCTTTGCTCTAAGCAAATTTGTGTAAAAAAAAAAAAAAAAAAAAATACTGATCACTTCCCCAAAGTAGTACAATGTTACTATGGTAACATTGTACTACTTTGGTCATAGTGAAATATGAAAAAAAAATCTTAAAAAAAAAAAAAAAAAAAATATATATATATATATATATATATATATATATATATATATATATATATATATATATATATATATATATATATATATATATATATATATATATAATATATATATTATTATTTTTTTTTTTTTCTTCATACTGTCAGCAGTCAGTGTCCCTGATCACCACCATGCCAGTTATAGGGTGACGGTGTACTGCACTGGTGACCATATGTAAAAAAAAAAAAAAAAAAAAAAATAGTGAAACTAATTTTTTTAATTTTTTCATTTTCCGAAAAATTATGACAAAAAGAAATACAACTTCAAAAAACTCGCCATGCCTCTTATGAAGTACGTCGGACTGTCTACTTTGCAAAAAGGGGTCATTTGGGGGATATCTGTACTGTTCTGACATTCTTGAACCTCAAGAAATTAGATTGGCTGTCAGTACTTCAGGATTGATCAATATTCAGATCTATACCATAGTTTGTGAACTCTATAACTTTCCTACAAACTAAAAAATACATCCTAATATGGGTTATTTTCACCAAATACATGTAGCAGAATACATCTTGTCCTAAATTTATGAAGAACAATTATTTGCAAACTTTTATAACAGAAACAAAGAAAAAACGTGGGTTTTTTTTTTTCAAAATGTTTGGTCTTTTTTTGTTAATTTAGCAAAAAATAAAAACCCCCAGCGGCGATTAAATACCACCAAAAGAAAGCTCTAGTTGTGTGTACCCAAACTAAAATTTTGTCATTTCCTTCAATTTTGTATGACCGCGCAATTGTCATTCAAAGTGTGAGAGCGCTGAAACCTGAAAACTGGCCTGGGCAGGAAGGTGTAAAATTGCCCAGTATTGAATTGGTTAAAAAGTTGATTGGAGAGGAAAACCTATCAAGAAGTGCAGAAACTGATAGCTGCTCTGCTAAAATTAGCTCAAATGCTTTAAAATAGCAACCAAAACCAGAAAGACATGGAAGAAAACGGAAAGCTACCATTCAAATGGATCGAAGAATAGCTAAAATGGCAAAGACTCAGCCAATGATCAGCTCCAGGGTGATCAGAGAAGATCTGAAGTTACCTGTGAGTACTGTAACAATCAGACCCCTATGTGAAGCCAAGTTATCAGCAAGAAGCCCCCGCAAAGTCCCATTGTTGAAAAAGGGATGTGCAGAAGAGGTTACAGTTTGCCAAAGAAAAGATTGACTGGCCTAAAGAGAAATGGCACAACATTTTGTGGAATGATGAAAGCAAGATTGTTCTTTTTGGGTCCTGGGGCCGCAGACAGTTTCAGATGACTCCCAAACACTGAACTCAAGCCACAGTACACTGTGAAGACAGCGAAGCATGGTGGCCTAAGCATCATGATATGGGGAGGTTTCTCATACTTTGGTGTTGGGTCTATTTATCACATACTAGGGATCATGAATCCGTTTGAATACATCAAAATACCTGAAGAGGTCATGTTTTCTTTATGCTGAAGAGGAAATGCTCTTGAAATGGGTGTTTTAACAAGACGATGACCCCAAACACACCAGTAAGTGAGTAGCATCTTGGTTCCAGATCAAAAGATTAACATTATGGAGTGGCTAGTACAATCCCTGGACCTTAACCCAATAGAAGACTTGGGTGACATCAAAAATGCTGTTTCTGAGGTAAAACCAAGAAATGTAGAGGAATTTTGGAATGTAGCTCAATCGTCCTAGGCTAGAATACCGGTTCACAGGTGCCAGAAATTGGTCGACTCCATTCAGCACAGATGTGAAGCAGTTCTCAACTAGTGGTTATACAACTAAAATATTCGGTGATCCACAGGAAAGCTAAATCTTCAAGCATTTTTCAGTTTATACTGTAGATGTTTGAGTTTCTAAGGAAAAATGCAGACATTGCTATTTTATTGAACAGCCTAATATTCCTTTTTCTTCACTTTCTGTAAAACAATAACAAATTTTAAAACATTTTTCTTCATGTTTTGATTTGGAATAAACCAGTGGTCTGCAAACTCTGCGGCCCGGGGGCCAGATGCGGCCCTTTGTTTGCCTCTCTCCTGCCCTTTAGACACTATTGTTTCAACTGACACCAATGATGAGGCACCATTCCTCCCACTCTCACCATTAATGGGCCACTCTTCGTCTCGCTAATACTATTGATGGGGAACTATTCTTCCTGCTAAGACCAATGATGGGGCATTATTTCTCCCAGTGATACCATCGATAGAGCACTATGCCTCCGATTGATACCAACCATGGTTCACTATTCCTCCTGCTAAAGCCAACAACAGGGCACTATTTCTCCTGTTAAAACCAATGGTGGATCAGTGTTTACTCCCACTGATGCTGGGATATTTTCTACTGACACTGGCCATAGTTCGGCCCCCCTAAAGCCTTAAGGACAGTCAACTTGCCCTTTGTTTAAAAAGTTTGGAGACCCCTGGAATAGACTGTGCAGTGTTCCCAATGTATTTTCGTGTATAGAAATAAAAGCTATTATAAGGAGCTTTGCTCACTTTTTTAAACAAACTGCTATTGTTTTGAACACAATTGTATATACATAATTTTTTTCATACATACACCTTTCAATAATAATTGTCAATAACAAATCTCAAAAATTAACTGATATTGCAAGGTCCTCCAGAGGTCTGAGGGTTTATAACAACTAGTATTCTTTTCTTTTATTCCCCTTTTAGCTTTACTCATAGGGGGGGTTTAAAAGATTTTTCCCTAGCCCTGTTAGAATCTTCCTTTTCATTTTTGCACCATAAGCTCCAAGAGAGACAAGGGTCTTCCTGTTGGACCCCTTATATTGCTGTGGGTAATGCCTTCTCCCACTCCAGATCACCTGAGTATCTCTTGCACTTCCCATTTTCCCCAGGTAGACTCTCAGGCTTACTCTTTCATTTACGATTGATAGGAAAATCAGTCAAGAGTCAGGTCCATGTGAGAAATCATTAACCCAGTCTTGCAATAAAAAATAAATGAGTGTACTTGTGAGCTACTATGGTGTTTGTCTAAACTCT